GGGGGGGGGGGGGGGGGGGGCGAGGCAGACGTATAGGAAATGGAAACACGAAAGCCCTTATATCTGTTTGGGGGGTGAGCATGAAGAAACGGGGATCGTCGGCGAGCAGACACCAAGGGGAGATGGAAAGGTACTTACAGTGCAACGGCAGGCAGCCGTAGCCCACGTGGCGGTCAGCCAGTGCTTCCAGTCTGCTGACGAGGTCGTCCGTCACCTCAAGGTTGCACAACCAAGACACCATCTGATGATGAGGCAGCAGCAATCCCCGCAGGACCCGTTCAACACGCAGGTTTTCGCAGGAAGGGGTCGACCCCGGTTCGTTGCATTTCGCACGGGGGGGGTGGGGGGGGTGGGGCAGGGAAAGGGTTGGGATCGACGCACTCTGCCATGCCTCTGTCTTACAGTTTCGAATGCAAGTACGAAAGCACACTCGCGGATACCCGAATAACGTTTTCAGTATTGTACCCTTCCCAACAAATAAGCCACGTATACAACTACTGGGCTAAGCGAACTCAGGACAAAAGCTCAAAACACCTCCTGTTCCGCGCCTCACGCGTACACCAGGCGCATGGGAGTAAGCTCACTTATTTCGGAACAGCGCGACGCGGGCTATCTCCGAGTCACGCCGACACACGCGCACACACACACGGTAAACCCTTGCAGCTTTCCTCTGTTATTGCTTCGGAATACATATCTGTCTTGAATCCAGAGCGAAGCGCAGACTCCTCCATGACGCTCCGTAAAAGGGTGCCAGATCGTGGCGTTTAGAAAAATTTTGTGTTTTCAACAACCGCACCAACTGACGAATTTTCATTGGTCAGCCGGTTAGCGCGGTCAATGCTATTAATAGTAAGAAACACACACCTTGACGAGTGCCCTGCTCTGCCGGACCATGTTGCCGTCAAACAGGTTCTTGGTTTTCGGCGCCTTCTCGAACAGCTTTTCGTAGAAAGCGTCGTAGAACACGCTGATGCGGGACGGCGCCAAGCCCGCGTCCTGCATGCCGGTGTCATCCTGCCATACATATACACGGCGGACACGTGTCGCAGTGTAGCGGTTTCAACAATGGCACCCAATCGAAGCAGTGGCATCGCAGGCAGCGGCAGGCCGCAGCAGTCGCAAGAGCGGCGACGGCCATGCAGCACGGAGAAAATGTGGGAAGGCAGGGGGGTTGAAGAGTAGGGGGCATGCACAGACTGATTGTAGATCCGAAGGCACGCCGTACATAGCGGGATGGGCTGCTGGTAACCTCAGCGTGGCGACCAAGCACGGCAACAGGTATGTAGGTGCGGCGGCAGAAACAACAACAGCAGGAGGACCTGCGGCAACAACGCCAACGACACAAGTGCTTGCTGTGAGAAGACACAAACTTCGGTTGTATAGTTGCATCTCCCCCGGCTGCCTGCCGTCTGTCTCTTCGGGCAAAGTTTCGAGCCTGCAGGCTTTCGCAAGGAATGTTTTTCTTTTCTTCGCCTTTTCGGGAGGAGAGAGGAGGCGGTGGCCGCAAGCCCCAAACAAGTGCAACACGGAAATAAATGAAAAATGGTGGGAAGGAGCTGCTGCTGCTGCTGCTGCTGCTGCTGCAGGGCATACATAGCACAGAATTTGAAAGGGTGTGCCTGGGTGTAGTTGATGGGATGGTGCACCCTCTCGGTTGATACCCAAATGGATGTACTACATGCGTATGATGACGTCCGGAAGAGGAATTGTCCAGCAGTAGTGATGAACGCGTGAGCAGGAGTGATGAACGATTGCGGGCATGGAGTGAGTACACCACTCAGAGCAAGCAGTGCCTCCAAAGAAACGAGAACGAACGCGGGCTCGCTCGAAAGACTAGTGTGCAAGTTGTCACTGCCGCACTCCAGGCAAAGACACGTCATATGGAAATGGCACCACCCGTCATGAGTCCATACAGAAAGCACAGAACCGACGTGGGTGTAAACATATGCACAGCAGAGCCGGGCAATTATGCAAATGCATGCCTCAGCCCACCCAAGCCCACGACTGCTCGTAAAGTAGGGGGGACTGTGCGAGCGTGGGATAATTCGGCGGCCCCTCATGCCCCGCGTGCTGCCGCAATCATACAAGATGGCCAAGGAGACTAAAGAGGGTGCTAACATGCGTGCTGTTGTAGTGTAGTCTCCATGTCTCCATCCGGTGAACTGCTGTTGTACGCATGCGAGGGGGTATACTTCGCCATCAACAACCCGTTAGGAACAAAGTCATACTTAGTAGGAACATGGTCAACGTCCCCCGACACGACATTGAAACTTGGGCAAACAGTCGCACCGCGCGAAAGAACGGCATCGTGTCTTCCGGCCAGGAACAACGAACCCAAGCCCCGATAATACCACCAACGAACGCCCACGTCACCCGTCAGAACAGGTACAAGTACGTAAATAGCTGCCCTCCAAGGCCCTTACGACAACTAGTCTGTTGATGAAAATGGTTGCCGCATGGTCTGCAATCGGACATTCAAGCAAATGACATTAGCCGCAACTCGACGACAACAAAAACCGAGGTGTGCAGCAGCAGCGCAACAACGCGGAGCATCACCACAGCAAAAACCGATGTCTGCTATCGTTGCTTCGCCTTTTGTATTGCTCTACCCTGCTTGGATCCTCGCACCGCAAGTTGGCGGGCGGGCGGGCGTCGATGTTGTGCAGCAGGCAGGTGGTGGCAGGTGGTGGCAGACCTACATAGAGTCATCACCAAAAAAACCAGGAACACTTTCTGCACTTTTTCTCGTCTATTGTATGCATATGTAGGAGGGAACTACGGATGGATTTCGCTTCTCCGACCTGGCCGCAAATCTGCTGCTTGCTGGAATTGCTGTCGTGGTGGAGTGTCTTGTGTTTTGGCTGTCGTGCCTGTTTTTTTCGGTCGTTTTTAGAACACGGCGGCGGTCATCCTGCGTAGGGGTTCACGAGCTACGCTGCTCGATGGATCGCCACCACGACTACGAAGGTCGCGTCCCTCTCTGCAGCAATCCCCTACACGAGCCTTAGCTAGTCCGCCCCCTCTGCTGGTACGCATGCATGCATGTAAGATGATTGCACAGCGAAAAGAAGGCGTGTGTACCCCTACTTCCATAACTCCATAACGGTTGGCGTGGCCCTTCTTTGCTCACCTCTTCCGCAATCAAGTTCCAGTGATTCGCAACGAGCCTGACCTTCTCCTCCGTCAGCGCCGCGTCAAGGTTGATGTACTGGGGGAGGTAGGCCAAGTACCTCTCCTTCACCGCCACGCGCACGCGCACTCCCTCCGCCTGCCTCCCTGTCGGAAGAGGAGGAGGAGCGCTGGCGCCCACACCCATCTCTCTAGCTCGGCTAACACGCCGACAGTCCGGGGGGTGTCAGATATCAGATCGATGATGACCCTCACTCAAGACAGCAGCCCGGCAGCGGCGCAAAAGATCCACGCTCTCCGTCCCCGTGCCCCTTCCTTCTCTACACGCCCGCAGGAAATCCCGTGGGGCCGGCCCCTGTCCCGGACGGGCGAGGAGTGTTGCGCGTCCCTCTCTCTCTCTCGCTTTTCTCCTCTCGTGTGTGTGGGAGGTGGACTCTCTGTCTCTCTCCGTTGAAGACCAGTTTAAATTCGGATCTTTCATGCAGGGTGTGGCATCGCACAGGGTGACAGGGGCAGCAGAGAAAACAGTCGAAAAAAGATTCGTTCCCGCGGAAAACGTGCCGTTGTTGATTGTTCAAGTGTAAGCGCGGCAGCAGAGGCGTCGGGCGGCCGGCAGCTGATGAACGGCGAATATCGCACTTCGGCCAACTGTCTGCCCTGCCTGCCAGAACCTGAATTGTGGACTGCTGTGGGCATGCAACACTGCTTGCTGCTGCATCGATCTCCCTGCTGGTTGCTGGTGGAAAGAGGTCGTCTATTATTTCTATGCATAGTAAGTGTACGTCAACCATACACACAAGGCAGTAGCGATTGAGGTTACGCACGCCACCCAACAGATTCGGAGAAGAAGCACTTCGGTGTCTCTGCTGTAACTTCTAACGTTTGACGGGCATGTGCGGCGGGTTCGTTGTTGCTTGCGGTCGCTGCACGCCCTCTTGTCTTTCGTGCATCATGCATCAAACCAGCAAGCAGCATTGTTATGTGTGCATTTGCATGCATGCTTACATACCGCAGCACATCTATTTCTGTAGGCGCGAAGGTCGCAAGCACGTGTGCACAGATACGCAGACAACGTAGATCTGCTGGTGGAGATCATGACGATACAAAAAACGGACTTCACAGGGGGCGTCTGGTGAAACTGGGGTACAGCAGGTACATGCGATCAAGTAATCTCGTTTGCCCATGGGGACCAGTGGGGGGGAACAAAGATTGCTAACTTGCTGGGTGGGGGTCTGCAGCATCCGGAACCAACCGGGGAGAGAACGGAGAGACCTCCAGACAACAACAACAACAATGACAACAACCTTGAGGAAATTTAATTTTAGCGTGCGGGTTCTCCCACGGGTGGTCTCCGCCCCGACCACACCTCGCAACAGGCATCGTCACTCCCGGTGTCACCTGCATCCAAACTATCTACTGTAACTACGCCCTAGCAGCTGTGGAAGGAGCCTGTGTGGACTTCGTATGAATCTACTGCTGTTTATGCACATCAAATTATTGTAATCGAGGGGTATTATTTTACCGGCGTTTCAAGGCGTTTTGGCAGTCTGCAGTCACGCCGGACTTCAACCGCGAAGTACGGACACCGCCTTGAGACATCTGCAGACAACAGCAGCAGCCGTGTGAGTGTTGGATTTTCTTCCGATCGATCTATTTTGTACACCAGGCCATGCATACGATACTGTTTTACTGGCAAAAAAATATCCAATGATGGGAGCCTTTTAGGCACGACCAACAACAGCAGCAGCAGTTATTTCTAGAAGAGTTGTTTGAGTGGACAGGCCCAGGTCGCCAGGTTGGGGTTCATCGTTCATCGTGCATCGCTCATCAGGCATCGTGCATCGTGCATCGCTCTTGTGCAGCGGATGTAGATGCAGTAACTTGGTGGTATGGGGTCCGATCAATGGGCTCAATGCATCGACAGTCGGCTGTGGGATGGTCCAGCATCTTGCATCACCCCATTGATCACACGACTGACTGTGTTCTCATGAGGCCACTCATGACATTTCACTTGCATTTCTCCAACAAACGATTGTCATGCACGAAACGGGGATGAAACGCGCCCACCAACCGGCTTCCAACGGTCACGTTCAAAGGTCCATTGAAATGTTACAATGGATAGGCTTCGCCAAGCGTCACCTTTCGTTCCAATCAGTACTCCTTTGCTGCAACGTGGAGATCATGCGGCCAAGAAGTTACTTCCGGCTTTACTCTCTAGCTTGATACAATCAAGCCGATGCCCAGCACATGTCTAACCCCTTCGAGAAAGTCTCCCTCATCAAGCCAGGGAAAATAGAAGCCATCACGGTGCACGCTTTGTTCGAGGACACCAGGTCAAACCGATGGCCCAACCAAGATATCCCGCGCCCCACTATCGATCTGAAAAAAAAAAGCGTCAAGGCTCTCAGGAATGTAGCTAGACATTGCCTCGAGCCCTCCCCCCGCCCCCCCGCCCCACGAATCTAGGGCTTATCCCCGTCTCAGCCTTCATCCTCCTCCTCGTCCATCCCATTGGCCCCCTCGGCCCCATCCGCTTTTGCGTTGGCCTCGTCCTCTTCTACCCCCCTAAGGTACAAGACGTTGTTACAGCGGATGAGCACGTCCCCCAAGTTGCCCGCGAACTCGCCGTCCACATACTCCTCCGTCGATGTGAGAAGGAGGTTCATGTACGTGTCTACCGACACCAGAAATCCTGGGAGGAGGGAAATGCGTGGGGGGGGTGTTGGCGTTTCTTGCTCGCCGCAGTAAGTCGACCGTTGATCACGCATCACTCTTGGAGATGGGGCACACAGCTACTCCTACGTCCTCCGAACTGAGAAATCTTCGAAATTTAATGAAGAAGCTGCCGTGAGCACAAACTTATTATCAAACGTGCGAATGGCAAAGTGAACGTACCCCAGCTCCCTCAGCTATGGCCAACATTTGGCTTTGGCCAACATTTGGCTTTGGCCAACATTTGGCGACGCTCTGTACGCTCGAAGTCAGCGGTGGGTGCGGAAGCTCCCTTAAAAATCACGTCGCTGAAGCACAAATACATCGGCCCTAAACACAGGAACAACGCCAGATCATTTGCGCCACAAAAACCGACAGGATGAAACTGCCTCTCTCGCTCCAGCGTTCGCCGCTACAGGGCCAAAAGATAAGTATTCACAGCCAGTGCGCCAGGATATTGCTCGAGTAGAGTTGAGTAGGTGCATAACAACCGTTTGGTTGGTGCTGCTGTTGGAGCTTGACCGCAGAGCATTTGTCACAGCAAGAGTTACCCTGGTCCGTTGAAATAACGCACATTTCAACTCCGCACAACCATGGGTTGGTACGTTGTCCTGCACTACTGCCGTTAAACATGGGGTTCAAATATCAGCCGGGTGCGTTTGTTTGGGGAATTGGTTGCTCGCATGCTTTGCCAAAAGAGCATTGTACCTTGTGCGGTTCTCCGCGCGACGCGGCCGGTCGTCCCACCGTTGCGGTGCAAAAGCATTTTCAGGGTAGTTTCAGTTTTGGACGAAAGCATCTCTCGCTTCGCGCGATAAAAACGCCTTCCGCCCCCCTTTTTCGTTTTATTTTATTTTTCTTGGACGGCTGGTTCGTCGAAGCCGCGCCCAACAAAACCGACGTGCTTGCTTCCTTCTCCACTCTCCTCCTATGTCCTGGCGATGTACCCAACGTGCGAGCAAAACCGAAAAGCTGCTACTAGATGCATACGTGGGCCGAACCCGCCGCGAAGCCGACGAGGGTGCTCTCAAAACGGCATCTCAACACTTATTCCGTGGTGGACAACCTGATCCAAGCTACTCGCGAACCAGTTCAGGCAGAAACCACGAATATGGAACGTCCCAGTGCAGGGGCGATGGACGCGGTTGAGGCGACGGCCGCGGTCGAGGTGGCTGCGGGGGTGGTAGGGGAGCCGGGGCCCTGACTTACAGTAGGTGCTCCGCGCCCGGAAAGCCGGCAAAACACTCTTTTCGCGCGTGCCCTCGGCAGGAACGCTACAACTGTGGCCAGACCGGCCACGTTCGTCGTTCCTGCCCAAACTAGTTGGCGAATAGGTCGCATCAGGGTGTCGAGCACGGAGTAAGTGTTGCGTTTCCCTTTTTTAAGAGAACGTTGGTCGGCTTCGCGGCGGGTGCGGCCGCACGCAGTAGCAGCTATTAGTTTGGTTTTCCTCGCACGTTGGGTACGTCGCCAGGACATAAAGAAGTGGTAGAGAAAGAAGTAAGCACGTCGGTTTTGAAGGGCGCGGTTTCGACAAACCAGCGGCACAAAAAAAGAAAAAAACGAAAACGGAAAAGGGAAACGGAAGGCGTTTCTTTTCGCGAGAAGCGAAAAGATTGGATTCGTCCAAAACTGAAACTACCCAGAAAAGTTCTTGCGCCGCAACGGCGGGACGACCGGCCGAGTCGAGACGCGAAAAACCGCACAAGGTGCAATACTCTTTCGACAAAACATGCGAGAAACCAAGTCTGCCAACGCAAGATTGTCGGAGGCTTGCGTTCCTGTAGGCAATACGGTGCCTTCGAAAGTGGTAAACAACATACACATACTATGTAGCTGCCCGGTAAAAACGGTTAGGCCAACAGTGAGCCAACAGCACTTACTTGTTGGTGCTTTTGTTGCGGCATATTCACGGCGAGCCACCACACCCCTCAGAATGTCCACAGCAAAGCGTTTGGATCGCTGGCGAACAGCAACTCATCCGTATGGATAGATGGGGATATGCGGCAGCGCAGCTGCACGGATAGTGCTCGGAAGCAATTTTCGTCGCTCGAGCGCATATTTTTTTCTTCGGCCCGCGATGTCGGCGTAGTTGAGCGGACAACAACACCACTATTACTGCAGTGTGGGATAGGGGAGGATATCGAGGAGCAGAAGCTCTTCTTTGCACCAGAAATGTGGAGATCAACGAGGAAGATGTGGGGCATAACTCATCAGCAAAACAGGAGCAGACACACTCCCGCTCGCCCATGTAGGTGTGCGATGTAATGCGGAACGGATTTAACCACATGTGCGATAAAAATTTCTTTTGTCGACACAGATATGGATAGCATGAAGCGGTGCTCCGGATATGCTCCAGCAGTTTGTCCAACTGGTGTACTCTAGAACTGTAGTTCCAAAATTTTCAAATCCGGCCAGTTGGAAATGTTGTTGACTCAATGGCGAAGGAGATTCCAGCATCGGGTCTTGCTCTATGCGTACGGACCAATGCCGCCAGCTCCCGCGACGTGATCTCTGAAGCGGCCGGCATGTACCAGGAGAAGATTGCAAGGACAACATGCAGTTGTAGCATACTCAGGGACATTTTTCTCCGAGTACGCCTACAGCAGTAATGCGAATCGCATTAACGTCTACGTCTGTTTGCAACAAGTGCCCCGGGTGAGCCCAACGCTCTCCCGACAGAGGAGGCACCCACGATGTGTAGAACTGAGCACGTACATAGACTGCGCGGCCTGCACGCCGACAATTGAAACGACAACTTTGAGCGGGCACTTTCTTTGTCGACAGCGCGCGATCCGAACTCCTTGCAACCGTTCCAAGGGGAGATCGCACTGCTCTATCTTGATGGAGGTGTCTGTTGTGTTGACATTGTTTCGCCTGATGCTGCTGCAGTGGCACTGGTGAAAAGTAGGGGGGTGGAGACGGGCGGCCATGGATATTTTCAAAAACAAGAAATTGCACTCACCCTTGTATTCCATGCCCCACTTCAGCTTCACCATCACCGGCTTCCCTGTGAGCTCATTCAAGAAGGGCTTTGGGTTCACGGGTGTCGCCATCGTCTGCCCCTCTTCGCTGCTCTTATCTGTAGCTCCGCGGTTTCGCCTCTCGCAGCCCCAACGCCCCTGCTGTCTTTGCAATCGCGTTTTGACCTGCCGCTCCGAGAACCAACAGATCTTGGTAAAATAAACTAGCACGGGCTCGGGTCTTCCTTGCAGTCGGCAAACCTTTCACTCTCCTAGGGAAGCTCTGATCGGTTGTGCTTCTTTCTCTCTGTCTCTGCTGCTCGATGTGTAGCCTGGGTGGGTAGACAGCGTGGTTTGTGTTGGCCCTTGGCAGCTTGGCCTACCCCCTACCCATCTCAAGTTCCCGATCTATTCACGTATCCCCCATTAATCTCGCCGCAATTTGCAGGTTCCGCCGCCGTTGTCACGCTGCTGTCCCGGCCTCTGTGCCTCTGTCAAATACCCACGGACATCGACATCCAAGCTCCGTGAACCGTTGCCTTGCGCCGCAATCGGACGTTGGCATGATGCATCCTCGAACACGCAGACGTGTTGCAGCCGTCGTGATTATGGGTTTGACGACAACAGTATTGGGTGCGGAGTTGCCAGATCGTCCTGCCAACTATGTTAGCTCCTGGACAAGCCGCCCACAAGTCGGCCCTCACGAGAGCGAGCCTTCGACCGACAACTGGAAGCTGGAGGAGCAGGCGTCTTTGGAGTTGCGTGAGACATTTGGAGAGGATTTCTGTCGGCAGCTAGAGGAGGAGGACGAGGTGGTACGATCGGTGCACGATCAGAAGGCCAAAATCGGGAGGGAGGCCGGCTGCCACCCGACCTCTCCACTGGCATCATCATCGCCGGAACGCTCCAGCTTGTCCTCTTCGACCAGCTTAGGACGGTCGGGTGGTGGTGAGGGTAGGACCCAAAATGACATCAGGGGGCCAATGGCGGACTGGCTTCGGTAGACCTTGGAGGAGGCGTTGCGCCTATAGCGTTTTGATGCGGTGACAGTAGCCGGGAGGGGCGTGGTGTCTAGACGGCAGGAATTGGTCGCATCTGTCGACCCAGCAAGAACGCGACACGAATGCGCCAGCCCCCTCTATGTACAGCAGTTGTTGTTTTTCCCATGTGTAGAGTATGGTCATTAGGCAGGTAGCATGGCTAACCTGAATCGTCTATTGTCTCTGTGTTCTACTGCTGAAGTTTGGCTATAGGGTACAACGGGGTGCCAGCTTGCCTGTAGTTGGTTCAATGCCCTTCGTTGCTGTTCGCATTTTTGTCGATTGCGCTTCACTCTGGAAGCCTCGGAAATCCCGAAATACGATAGACGACAAAGGCGACATTTCGGACGTGACGTGTGATACTACTCGAGACCCTGCAAATGTTTGTGAATCGTCTGCAGGGTCGCAGCTGGTAATACTTCGAATTACAGAGTTGAAAACTCGACCTACATGATTTGTACGCGCCAAAGAAGCCATGAGGGGTATCCTGGGCAAAACGTCAGTGCCATTTTATGAGAGGTACCACTCTAGCCATTGGTGCATCAACCAAGCTCTGCTATTTATTCTGTTTGGCGGCCACGTTACCGCCCGTCTACGGGGCTCAACAGAGGACGCAAGGCAAGTAGGAAAACCACTGCTACTCTGGTGCAGGAACGGTAGCGCCGGCGGCAGAGCCGTTGCGCCCGAGCACAAATGTCAGAGATTGGATGATGAGAGCAGGTAGGTAGGTCTGGTTTTTCCCAACATGGTAAAAAAAAAGAAACTGAAGCCGCAGCTGCCCTTCTCGCCCCTTCAAGGGGTTGAAGAGACCCTGCGAGGAAAGCAGAGAAACCACTGCTTCTACTCATGGCGCAGCAACGGCTGCAAGAGCTGCAGTGTAGCGCCGGTGGTGGATCAAGCAATGTCATCCAAAAGTCAGTTCATGGGCAAAAAATAAGAAGCACGAAAAAATTAACCCCACACAATATTTTGAGCTTTTTCCACCGTCGCGCCTGCTTCGCCCCTGCTCCTACACTCCAGACAGACCACCCCCTGGCACCCTCCCCCGTAGCATTTCCCCCTCCAGAGCTCGCTCCCTAGGTGCTCGCCCCGCAGACGGCAGTGGACCTCCGCGCCCTTGATCCGTCCGTCGATACCGAATCGGCTGGTTGTGTGGTCACCACATTATTTTTTACTTGACAGGCGGGGACGTTTTGAACCCGTTCGTCACCCAAAACTACCCCATCGTAGGATTCGTACCGAGAGACGTCCGCGGGATTCTAGAGCGGTTTCTTTTATCACCTCCGTGAAAACGGTAGCTACGTTTTGGTCGGTGGCGGTTTTCACAAAAGCTCGACGCCCTCGCGGCCGCTGTGAATTTAGCTGAATATGCTTTGAGTTTTTTTATTTGATGGGATGGAACCAACCGATTGAAACACTGACCGACAAAAACACGCTTCTTGTTTGTGGCACTTGGATATGAGTCCGATCTGTGCGTCCTCTGTAGGGGATACGCGTATAGGAAGTAGTGCACTCGTAACACATCGTCCTGTTCACACATGTGTACTGAACCGCAATAATCAGTTTGTTCGTGGCATCGAGTATTCCGCGTTCTCCTCTCACTGTTTACTATCAAGTCCAAACGAGGTATGGCGCCCTCACGCGGAAAAGCGGAAAAAATGTTTTGAGGGTTAATCAACGAACAGCCTGCCCTCGCGCATACACCAAAAATGGGGGTCGGGCGCAGGGCTAACAGTCTCATATCGTTTGCCGGTGGCATTTCAGTGAGATCCGCGGACCTTCTGTTTGATCGGAAATTGGTCTGAGAGTGGCTTGTTTTTCCTGCTCGACTCCCGATTTGCATCTCCGATGCAGCTTAGCGTGGTGATAGACGTGATCTGAGACGAATGAACGTTGGGTGCGCTGGCGAGATCGAGTTTGTTACCCAACGGCTTAATTTCTAGTCTATGGTGAACAACGTGTTCGGGAACCGCCACGTGAATCGCATGTTTCCTCCACACCAATCACAACCCCACGAATGTTTTGGTCTAGCGAACGTTTCGAGGTCAGCTTCAGCGGCGGGAGATGGCTGGTAAAGCGTCTTTACGGCTCCCTTTCGCGGAAAAACAGGCAGAAGTGGAAGTTGTGCTGTACGAAGCTTGCAGGCGAGCGTTACGTGTGTCCATGCATCGCGACTAGGGGCGGAGACAATCTTCTGGAGTATGGCCTCATCTTTTTTCCAAGGTGGATCAGATGGACATGGAGACGCCCGCATGGCGCTTCGGTCGGCTTGCCTCGTCTTTCAGTCCATACCAAACTACATACACCACCACAGAACCTGAGGTCAATACTATGTACGCTTCGCTTTGAATATATTTCTCAGCCATCTAAAAAAAGTCGAGCTCAACCGCGTGGGTCGAAGCGCGCATTAGTCGCCTAAATCAAACACCGGCGCTGCAAATCTCGTAGTTCAAATGCACATGTTGAGCCTCGAGCATGGTTGTGAGTGTTTCACATTCAGACCCCACGTTGTACTTTCGCAGTCAAACATCATCACAGTCGTGTGCCCCCACTTCAATCTTGATTAATCGGTTTTGCTAGAAGATCTCCTCCATCGTCGCGACGTGACAAGCCTCTCTTCCGACCCATCTTTTCCTGATACTCTGATGGCATCTTCGACGGCTCTCAACACGCTGTCGACGCCCTCCGAAACAGCAGTGGAGTCCTGCCTTTCGGCGGTTACCCCGCGGCTCGTCCGCGAACGTGCACGCTCGATAGCCGTCAGCCAATCTCGTTGGTGCCTCAGGTACGCAAGAAACGTGGACGCCTCTTGCCGTTCTGTACCTCGCCCTCCGATGCGCAGCTGGTCGGAGTCCATGGTTCGCGAAGGCAGAAAGTCCCCAAGCCAGTCTGACCACTCCTCCTGTGGCATGCCTGTTGGCCACTCTGGTCCAGAGAAGGGTGGAACCCCCTGGTCACTTTTGAGGCTCCTCAAGGTTTCCGTACAGTCCGCTCGTAGCGTCAGAAAAGCGTGTCTCCCTCCCTTGCCCAGTGTGGACACGATTTTTTCCTGCAGATGGTAAGGGAGGCAGAAGCGTAGGAGGTGCAACAGCAAAGCTTTTGAACGTGATGTTGGCTACAGTTGGCTGTGCTTGTCTACCGAAGCCACAGGCGCCATGTGGAGCAACGTGATTCGTCGATGCCCAAGGCGTGGAAGCGTAGAAAATGCAAAGTCCTCGGATGTTTTCGGCCGTACTTTTCGCTGAGTCCATATACATGAATGCAATGGCACGGCCACACCACAAGGCCAAAGACATACATGTTTTTATCAGGTACACCCATTGCCTGAAAGGCGCAGATTTTCACCCCACCTGTGTTATTCGCCAACCATTTTCTCGTAACCACACGCGTAGGTCGCGCATATATTCCAGTCGAGCGTCCATCGGCTGCAGCACAAGCCGTCGCACTCCTAGACGGGACAGTGCAGGAACCCCCCGCCCATGCGAAGATTCTGGGCTATCCGTTACATCGACACTGCTGTCGCTCGTACTCGTGCTGAGAATCTGTATCATCGTCTTGACACCTGAACAAGCAAGTCCGAAGCGTTTCGGGTGGAAATACACGCTCGTTGAGCAGGTGTAGGGACAACAGTCAACGAGGACGAAATTCCTCGAAAACGCAGAAGATGATGCAACACCCTTGGAAACAGCGCTCTTGTTTCAACGATCTTATGGTACACAGACGTTGCTGGCCGCTTGAAAATGGTGTCCTACGGATATCCATTGGCCAAACGAGGTAACAAACGGTTGGCGCACCCACCTCTTCTCTTCGATTTGTCTAAGAGTGGAGGTCGCCCAAGCACAAAGGATACGGAGAAAACGACAAGCACAGTCAAGAACGAAGTTCGAACAAAATGAACGCAAAAAAACGGTAGTCACACACAGCCAAACAAGATACGCACCTACCCCCGCGATACACACTGTGTCCGCTTCCCCTTGCTCCAGCACGGCTAGCCCATCACCAAGACGGCACTCCAAGCGCGGGAAAACCCCGTCCGCGACAGCCCCATCATTCCCTACCCCTTCGCCGCTACTACCTTCATTTATTGGTCGGAGAAGTGTTTCAGCAGTAGCGTCGGGGGTCCCCGTACACTCGCTTTTACCGGCGGGTGCTCCTCTTTCTGCAGCCGCGGTGGTGAGCACGGAAAAAGGTGCTTGCTGAGCGTGTCTCAGGTAAAGCTTGGCGTTTTGGCGTGCGACGTTCAGGGGCCCGGCCGCCCTATCGCCGGCGATGACGTTGGCACCGTTGGCGTGCAGGCAGATCGCGAGTAGTCCGTGATCTGAACGCAGCTCGCAGGACGAGGGATGCAGAGTCGGTGAAAACGTGGTCACTAACAAGCCACCGTGGTTGCGTAAACAACTTCTTCTGTGCATGGGCGAGATCGGCGACGGGGCTTGTTGCGTGGGTGTTGAATGTGAGTGTCGGGCAAGAATCGTGGCAGAAACACAAGAACGCTCGAAGTGAACGGACTCAATCATTGGCACCCAAACAGCCTCTGGTAGCACGGCCTGATCAAGTACGTGGTCTCGCGCAAGTACTAGCAACGGCACGATCAGCGTGTGCAGGACATCGACACAAACTAACGGTGAGCTGCAACTCTCAAGAACACGGACGCCTAACGTCAGCAAACGTACAACGCATTCCCCACAAGCACAATGCTCACCTGTTCCTATGTCCGCACAGCCGAAAGATCCGCCACCAGACTCCACCCTATCCTCGAGGGCTAGATCTGCTACTTCTTGAAGGCGATCAAGACGCTGTAAGGGAGCTCGCTCTAGCCTCTTCATGCCTAGCCATGGGCTTCGCGTGCCGAAGATGTCTCTGAGCAAGACCGGCGACCCGCGTTGCGATCGTTTTCGCACGGACGCCTCGGTGATGGGCCCTCCGGGGCCGTCTAGCGCTGCCGAGCACGGCCGAATGGCCACTCCCGCCCGTGAGGCAAATCGCTGCTGCACGAGTAACAACCGCGCGCATGATCCAAATTGGAGGAGGCATATGCGGCATATTTGAATTTCAGACTCAATGTCACCAGCTCTAGCCAGGGGTTGCTGTGGTTTTCGTCATCGCTCGCTGAAACGGACAGGATTAACACACGCTCTGACTCGGCCACGTAGTAACTGGGATTGTATGCTATTTGTACAGGTGAGAATGTACAGCTGGTGGGATTTCAAGGTAAGACCTTGTCATGGAGTGCGCCAGATAAGGAACGCAAATCGCAAGTCTACAACGTGAATAGTCTGGATACTAACCGATACCTCAAATAGATACACTGGGTGCACAAACAATTTGAGCCCTTTGTCAGTCAGACGGCCAACCGAATGTTCGCAAGATTGCATTGCCTGCTATCATGCCGTTGCCTGGTCAAAGATGCACATGCTCTCCTTGAGCTGCCTCTCAGAGGACAGCAGTCGCAAAACCGCCAGAGTGCACCGTGGTTCTTCGAAACATGTAGTTAGAGGAGTGATGGATTCTTACCCATGGACTCACGCACGGGGAGTGGAACGCGCAAGACACCACCAAAGCTCGCATAGTCCTTCTTGCAGTTACAAGGATGACGGCCAGGTGCGGGAGAGCGGTTTGTCGGCGGCGGTTTGTCCGCGGCGGAACTGTTGGAATTCTCCCCAGCAGCAGGACACGCCGCCACATCATTGAGACCCCCAGCTCGCTCACGCGCTCTCAACCGCGTGTCTGTGGTAGATCGTCCTACCCTCTATGAATGACGAGCAGGCGGCGGCCGACGCTCTGCGAAGCGAACGTCCCGATGAAGTGCAGATAGGCGTGGTCGTTCTTCCCCTCGTGCTCTCTGCGGCCCTGGTGACTGTGGTGGTGGCGTACCGATGTTTCGCCAACAGGCTCCGGCGAGATCGCCTCGCCCTTGAGCGTCAAGAGGAGGTCGAAGAGATAAGAGGTAACAAACATTAGTAGGAGAGTTCAGTGTCGTTCGCTCTCGTGGCGTTCGCTATGCCCTTCTAATATATGCGCAAACATTTTGCATCTTTTGGCCTCCTGTTCGACACGAAATGCACACTACCGCTTTGTGGTGCGGGATGTCAGCCAAGTTGATGTGTCAACGTGTCAAGTATTATCAACAGATCGGCAGCCCGACACGCTCCCTACCTGTAGCAGGTTCTTCCTGATCCCTGCCGTGAAGGAGGCACAGACATTGCCAAACACGACGTTTGAATTTGGCATTTGTAATTGTGTAGTGTAGCAGTTCTGTATGCGAAATCCTAGCAGCAGCAACGGAAAAACAATATATGCACCCATGGGTACGCACATATTCTAAGCCATGCACCCACAACATGGCAGTCCTGCCTATACAGACCTGCACGAACACCATTACCACCCAAAAGCGACCTAGCCCTGCTGCAAGGCCCACCAACCTAACACCTAGCCACGTCAGGACCAACCTAGCACCTATCCAGGCAATATCAACCTAGATTTATCCCATCAACGCCAATCTGGTACCTATCCAAGCAGTAACAACCTAGAGTTTTCCCCGTCAACACCAGCCTAGCCCTAATGCCGGCACAACAACCTAGAGCTGAGCCACCCAGTCCAACCTAGCAGCTGTCGGGTGGGTTTGGGTTTGGGGTTAGGGTTAGCATTAGGGTTTTTCGCCGGTTTCGTGCCCCTGCCAAAGTAGAGCATGGTAGTGTTTACAAGCACAAAGAATGCCTTTGATAGAAAATCAATTACTAATACATTGTAGTAGCTGGTTGAGGGACAAGTTTTGCAGCATGTGACAGGGCAGGGCACGGGTTCAAGCCTCGGAACATTTTCCCATTTTTTTCGCCTGCAGGGGGTGTTTTTGGTCTGTAGAGCGCATGGGTACATGGCTTATGTGCGTACCCATGGGTGCATATAACTTTTGCCAGCAGCAACAGGCGTCGGCGATGGCTTGTGTACTCGTGCGGCAACGTCCGCCTCGCGTCTGACACGCTTGTACTCTGCCCCATCAACACGGCCCGCCTCGTCGCGCCTGTGTTATGTTTATGTTTCTGCGACGGGTGTGGCCTACCTAGTGATTTCCCACGCGTTGCTACATTGTGTCTCTGTGTCCTACAGCACTGCCTGTGTAAACGGCGAGATCATGACCGTTTGCTTAGAGAACCAGGATTTGTCACGGAGGAAGGCACGCAACATGTCTACTATGTACCTCCTACACATACAAGTGGTAGCGTTAACCTCAGTCACATAACGGTGGCTTGGTGGTTCAGTCGGGGTATGCTCATAACCTGACACTACAGCCGCAGGCCAATCTCTCCGGCGGAATGAAAAATACTCGACAGCACATGAAAAGTTAAGAGCGTGTTGCAGTACCAACATGATAGTACACATGAGAGACGGCAGTGCCGAACCCTTCTCGCGTCACAAATTGAAGGCTAGCATCGCCGGAGCAACGTGGAAAATTCCTCCCGTATAACCTGGCTACCCTACCAAGCATTGTCCAAAGGGTATAGATGGGGAGAGAAAAAGAAAAATATGGCCTGCTCTGCCCGATGTCAGAAATGATCGCGTGCTCTGAGTAGAAAGCGCATGCTCTTCCACAATCGTCGCCTCGTTTACTTGATGCTCAGCGAAAGAAGGGGCTCGGAAGATGCCGCGCCTGTGCCTTCTCTGCCGTTCCTGATGACGAGGACCGGACAATGCCCACCGTCGTGCTCTCTCAAGTAACAACGTAACGCTTATTTTTCCAAAACGAAACCGTTTCTTACGTATCACACAAGTGTCCACATTGCCCTGGCTCAACGTGCCATGGGCGAATATCAATGGATGTTGTAGTTGTCAGCTATCACTGGCTGTAGCCACCAGGATCCAACACGCTTGTTTGCCGTCTCTTGCTGTGGGACTACGATCCAGCCTTCAACACTCGCTCTGCTTTCCCGGCCCCAACCCTTGTCCCGCAGCTGCTCGAGGGAGAGAAGAAGCAGGGGAAGGGGGATCACCTCATCGAAGTGCTGCCATGGCGGGGCTGGGCAAAGACCAATATATGTCGGCGTACAAGAAGCTATTGGCCCAGGCCTGAACATAGAAGAGGCCTGTCTTCGTCAGCTAATAAGAGTCTGGGCACGGATATCACTGATTTTTTCGCCGTATAGCGTGCAGGTTCAACATGTGCTCGGAGAATCGAGCAAGGCGCAACTGTTGTACCATACCGGTCTACTCGTTTTGTAGAACACGTCTGTATAAACTGAATTGAATTTTGGTGCTTGATGTTTTCTGCGAACCTCGGTCGAGTTGAAAGCAGGGAATTGTGTGTCCTCTTGCTGAGTAGATGCGGAGACCTATTCCGACGAACAGTTTGCCTCCTCAACGAGTCTTTTTGTAAATACTTGGTCAACAAGCGCCAAGGCAGTGTTGTTTTGTTTGCGCAAGGATTTCGAGTTCCGGGAAGGGCACGCCCGAAGCGGGGTACGGGGTTGCTGGTGGGGGGTCTGTTCAGCGGCCTTAAACTTGAAGCCCCAACACGTAGACCTATTCGAGGAAGCACGTAGACCCCTGCGAGGCATTCGTGGGTGCTTACTGGTGCGTGTACCCGTTGCGCATAGGATACGCTGTGAGGTCGCGAAAGGGAACGTACGTACGCCTCTAGTATGGTGCATGTAGTCCAAACAGCAGCTTCCCTCTTGACACGAGGGCATTCGGCTATCAGGAGTGTGCCAGGTGTTGTGGCATGGACCCTCTCGGTCTCCATGTTTTCGAATCTAGTACAGGAAGGTCAAAACGATTTTTATTGTAGCAATTAGAAGCTTTCGTGCTCCCCGTTTTGCAGCCACAAGTGTTGGTGGCAATTGACTTCCAACCTTTGTTGTGGTCCATTTGAAAATCAGTCCGCTCGCGACGAACGTGGTCGTGCTCTCTGATTGGGTGCACTACGCGCGTGCAGTTTACAAGAAGGAAATGTCTCCCCTGTCAAGTAGTCCGACAAGCCACGGAATGGGTTGCCAGAATCTCCCTTCCTCTCCCGCGTAAAAGGTAGTCGTACAACGCAACACTGCGAGTTAGCCTAGCGACGACAAGTAAGCCAGCCGAAGGGGAAAACTGATTACCTCGTAGCTTGATTTGGCCCTGAAAAATTTGGAATTCCCAGGAAAGGCTACTTTTCGTGCAGAATTGGTCGTGGGATTGGGGGTAGCGTTGCCGGCTTCCCCAACCGTTTTGAGTCATCGGTGATGCAGGACCGAGAGGTTGAGTTGGTGAGGTTGCCTTTCCGTTGGAAGACGAGGAGTGATATATATGTGCTTCTACTGCGAATTAGAATTGGTATGTGGAGGCCGTGCTAATGGCTCTCAATCCCATGTCGTGTTTGGCCGGTCCCAAGAGAGCCTTATTGGCTCAGCAACATAATGAACAAGGTCAATGGAAACCCACCGTCCTTGTCTCAGTTGTTCTCCAATACGGCGATCTTCCACCACGCACTGATCACCAGTTCCCATGCAAACACAACAAAATTTCCGCCTCGTCTGTTCGCGTTGCAGACAAACTACCCCCGGCCTGGGAAACACCAGATCCGTCAATGTTTCAACGTGAAATAAGTGACCACGACAAAAATAGTCAGGCGAAAGAACGAGAGACGTTCATCATCATTGAGACAAAATAGTGCACGAGCTCGTGATGGTTCGTGGCGAAATACGGTAAGTTTGCCGCGAAATCAATAATACTGCTACAGTACTCGGGCAACCGAAGCAAACATGGAAAACAAATGCACGCACCAGGACAGGACGAAAATAAAGTTTTTTTCCCCCAAACCTAATTGGTATTTGTCGCGTTTTCCTGACCTCTCCGCACCTCACTAGTAATGAATCTGTGATGGAACAGGGCACATTGAAAACTACAAATGCTCCAACACGTTGATACCCATGCCCCCCAAGCATGAGTTCGATGCAAATTTATCAGTAAGCCTGATACAGCCGTTCGATACCGCCACATCGCAAACCCTGTAGACTCTTTCAATGTACATGAATGTGTCAGGTGTCTCAGGCTTCTCAGGTGGTACATGTAGACTTACTTCATATGCATCTTGTACCAGATAACACCAGTTCAGTTTGTTGGCCGTTGGCCGCCGCCCCCCCGACGTTCCACTACGGAGCCCCCATTCGATTTTGATTTGACCGCAAAACACCGCAGCCGCAGGCACAACAACAACACATCTACCCAGGAGCCCAGGAGTTCTACACAATGGAGAGCAGCCGAGATAATACCCAGTTGCTTGGGGCCTCGGTTGCAAGTTTTCTAGCCGGCGCATTCGTGATGCACTGGCTCTCATCTCGCCGACGTAGGTATGCGAATCTGACGAGCATGGGATCAGCTCCATAGCTCGATGAATCCGATGTCCGTTCGCACTGACTGCTGCTGTTCACATGGGAGTGCAGTGTTGCGTTGCCCTGCATGTGCATTGTGTTGGACTCGTGGTGCGATGATTGAGCTCCGTGGTTCTTCATCACCTTGCGTGAAGAAGGAACTCGCTGCAGCAGTTTACCGATGTGTGTGTTGAGTACTGATGTGTCTTGGTGTATGTGTATATGTGTATGCCTAGCTGCCGGCAGACTGCTGTCGAGGGCAAAGACTGGTCGAGGTACGCTGCGGGTGGGTGGGCGGACAAATACGGCATGTGACAGCTTTTGGTTCCGGTACCGAGTAAGACCGTTTCTCTGCGCCATTACACGCGCATGTGCTTTAAAAACTTCAACGATGGATACACAGCCTACAGCACTAGGGGTGGTTTGCAGAACGTTACACAAGACCTGGGCCGATCGTCAAAACCTCGAGTATTCTGCAGCAACAACGGCGAGGTGCCGAGAAATGGCAGCGTTGGCACCGTCTCGTCGAGATTATTTCGAAAACGAATCATCTAACCTTTGCATCTTCAACGTCAAGGAGTAATCGATCTTTGAAAATCGATCAACGGGTGTGCACAACTCCACGAACCCAACGTGCCTTTTGTACTTGTGTTTCACCACAAATCCTACACCCTTGGGAACGTTCCCCACGTTCTCCTCGGAATATTGAGATTCGTACCTCCCTGCGTTGTTCTCGAATTCAACACCTTATTTTGTGTGAATTAGCATCGACCGTCCCAAAAAGTGTGTGAGTTTTTTTTGTCAGCATCGACCGCGCTAACCGGCTGACCAATGAAAAGACGCTATTCTCAGGGCGGATAAAAACACTAAATGTCTCGCTGTATGTGTGTGCATACGGCCATATCCAAATGTCTAGGGTTGTGGTTGTTTTCGCCCGCCCACGGCCCAAGCCGAGCGCATACCTCGCACCCCTGGGTTCGGGTCAATCGCTGTTGTTGATTGCGTTAGATAGAAACGGATGCAACGGCGGACCAATCAGTTGTATTTCTCTCGCACGGCGCTGATACCATGCATGGAGTTGTATTCGTCCTGCAGGCAATGTGCGATACGTGTTACTCAAACTTTCGTGGAAATTGCACACAGACATGACTACGGCGAGGGTGCAGCGCAGGTACCGGTGCACCACGCACATACAATATATATTTTCGCAACAGTTGGACGGGAGCATTGCCTTTCAGCTTGTACTACTCCTATGCATAGGTATCAGCACACATCGCACACACCTTCCTCGCTCAAGAGGATGATTTTCAGCGCCTAGCGGCCACTGTAAGCACACAATGTGTAAGGTACTAACGTACAAACGTAACACAGATATTCCCCTTGATGAATTTCATTTTGTTGCCCACCACACAGGCGAGAACCGGTATCTCGGGGTGACGCTGAGTTCGAGGAGGAGTTTGAGGAGGAGGAGAGAGCCCTACAGTCCAACGGCGGGGCACGGGCATGGTCCTTAGACGACGGCCCGTTCAAACTCGTGCTCATTGTCAACATGCAGCTCAAGATGGGGAAGGGGAAGGCGAGTTTTGGTCGGTGTTGCTGCAGCAAATCCTGACTGCCCGACATGTCACCCCAGTGGCAGGGTTGTGAGACGGTGCAACTGCCGCGCCCGCAAAAAAGAAATGCGAAGATAACTCAGTTACAACATCATCGCGAAACATAGGGGAAATGTCTACGAAGCACAGCTCAGCGGTGGAACTTTCACGACAATATGAGCATAATTTTGACACCCTCACCAGCCAACCCTTGCAATCATTTAGAAATCTCGCTTGAAGAACAGCAGTCCGACGCCTATGCGAAACCAAGGGTATTTCAACGAAGTGGTAGGATGGATTTGTCGGCGCTCTCACGAGCTTTTTTCTATGGGTTGTGAACATGCAAATTTACTGATCTGGCGTTGCTTGGTCGGTGTCTCTCCTTCTGAAACCCCACGCCGGTTCCAGGTAGTGGCGCAATGTTGCCACGCCACGCTCGGCAATTACAGGATTTCGGAGAGGCACTGTCCGTCTGCGTTGAGAGGGTGAGTTAGCACACGATTGTATATTGCAGCCTCGGGTACATTTCACGTGGTGCTGCTCTTGCGTATCATGGTTGGCGTCATCTGCAGCGAAGGACGGGGTGATCAGGGGTGATGCTTGTTTGCTGTCTCTTTTTTTTTTCGTCTCCAAAGTGTTTCGTCCAAGTACGGCTCATGCTCGCGTATATCGTACGCGCCTGTGTGTACGTATGATAGGTTGTATTGTAGTTTTCGCGTGACCCTAGCCCTCCCGAGTGCAAAGTGATGGTTACGAGACTCGGTAGGCAACGCAACCTCCACGTGCGGCGTGACCCATTAATGGGCGACGATCACAGGCACCAACCACAGAGCTGCTCGCAGCTGTTGGTGTTGAACCCACCCAGCGTAGTTGGCATGCGACTGTCGGGCATCGCTGTGCCAACACCAGTCGCGAAAGCCGCTGTGGTGGAAGGAAGGCCCCACCTTGAGACCAGCCTGTTATGTTGCTGCTGCTGCTGGCGCTGTTCAATTCATTTTTTATTGCAAACACAGTCGTCTGTCCCGTTTTTCGCGCGTGTTTCGACGAAGAAATCTCACGGTTATTGCTGATGGCGATGATGATGTTGTCGCGACAGGTGGGAACACATGGGGCAGGCAAAGATTTGTGTCAAGTGTCCAACCGAGACAGAGCTGTACGACATTCAGGCCAAGGCACAGTCGGCCGGTCTGGTTAATTATCTAGTGGTGAGCTGGTTGGTCTTCCTTGCTCCCTCGCGGTGCTCGTTAGAGCACTGATAGTGTATCACGTGACCTGCCGTCGATATTGGCATCCTAAGGCTCGTATGCCCAATGTAGTGGTAATGGCTCCGGTTTTTTTTCACGGGTTCACCTCTGTCCGCGTATTGCCGGACAGCCGTTACGAAACAGAACGTGGCCGGCACAACAAGTTCACCGCCGGCACATATTTTCGGCACTTACACGTGTTCGCAACCCTCCTTGTGCATTTGTTTAGGCATGTGCAGTGTCGAAAAACCCGGCATTCCCACACTTTTAGGAACGCCGCGCTGTTTTGAATCCTTAACTGACAGCGGGCGCGGTGGTTTCTCGATGCCCATCAACACAGGCCGGATGAATAGCACAAAATTGTAGCGCATTCGCCGGTCTTGTGGCCCCTGGCTCGGCACAGACGCGCCCATCCTTAGTTTTCCTCACTCTTCCTGATAACAAAAAAACTCCTTCCTTGTTGCATGTGCTGTCCTGGAACACTGTACCTCCGCCATCCTCTTGATACCACAGATGGATGCCGGTCATACCCAGATTGCCGCGGGGTCCCGTACCGTGCTGGCGCTAGGGCCGGCTCCGGTGTGGGCGTTCGAGGGCATATCGTCGCACCTCAAGCTCATGTAGACCGACGTTTCTTTGTAGGTGTGCTGCTATAGAAGCTTGCGTTCCAATGAAGTGGCTAAAGAAGCGGGCCGATTTCCACTCGATAGCTTTTGGCGGAGAAGTCCATGACTTCTTTCTTGTCTTTGTTCGAGGGCAGTGGCGTGTCTCATGCGGAGAAGGCAAAGGTACTTGGATTTGTTTTCGAGCGCGTTTTTGGCAATACTTTCGTCAGGGGGAAAGGAACTCGGGGGCAAAGTCCTTACAAGAACGTTTTTTCGGAATCATTCTAGCATGAGTAAGAGCTTAAGAGCTTCGACTGGAACCAGCTCGCATAGTGGAACCTTGCCCAAGGGCCGCGGATGATAAGCATTCGCCGTTGATTCCCGAAACGCGCGTCATTGCGATATTTTTCTCCCCCTCAAGGTTTCCCTTCGCCATTAATTTAGCTGGCCTTGAGCTCAATCTGCCGGCTTGCGACGCACCACGTGTTTTTTCGCTTGTCCTGTCGTTTACAGCCACATTCACTGTTGCCTCTCGGCCAGCCACCGTAGCCCAAAGTTTGGGGTCGGGCTTACGACCACGGCACACCAACGACCGCCGCAGGTTCCTCCGACACCCGAAAGATGCCCGACCAACCCAAAACCGACTGCTGTAGAATGACGCGGGTGCTCGGAGGATACTCGAGTGCAACCACCACTGATGTCTCTATGCGGCAAGGTCGGACAAAGCATCATTAGCAACTACTGCTACTACTACTACGGCTGTATTGGTAGTTCAGTCCAACGCAGGCGGCGGGAAAAACTCGGCGTACTTCTGCTCGTAGATGAAGCAATGCCGTCGCCCGAGGTTCCCCCTACGAACGCGGTGCGGTGCCCCTAACACTCTTCCTTCCGTCGCCCGCTCTAGCGCCTGAATGGCGCCAGGCCAAACCACGAAGTGACGAGCAAGGGCGGCGAAACAAATGACAGATACATCGGGCAGCTATAGAACAAGAAAATTTATGTGTGTGTGTGTGTGTGGGGGGGGTGTACTCATAGTGGTGCATGCCGTAGTCGTTAGACCATTGACCTCGCATTCCTACAAAGCCGGGACGGAGCACGCCGGGTTCTCACCGGACCAGGCTCTCACATCACCAAGCGCGATGCGCCGTGAGGTATTTGGCGAGTCGCACAAAGGGTGCGCTGCATCATGCTAAGGGTGTTCGGCATCTCGTGCTTACTCTCCTGCGTACGGATAGTAGCTGCGTATGACTTAATTTATTTTCTGGTGCTTTCACTTCAAGAGACAGTTGTAAGCATTGTGAAACTGCCTCGAGGGTGCTTGACCAATTTAACACAACGTGGTGCGATCATCCCCCTTGCGCGGAGTGAGGGTTGTCGACCCCGCACAACATAATCTACTCGACCACCGCAAAAACAAAACCAAAGGCAAAAAAAGAACGGTAACCTGGTTGCCGCGCTCATGAAGTGATCGGCTTGTTTTACAACATCGCTGCCAAGCGACGAAAACCCAACCCCGATGGCAAACACCGGGGGCGGCGGCTTGTTTTACAACGCCGTTGCCAAGCGCCGAAAACCCAACCCCGATGGCAAACACCGAGGGAAGGAGGGGGGGGTATACATGCGTTAGGATATGCCTAGGTTGCAAGAAACGCACGCGAGCATTGAGGCACTTATCCTGATTCATGTGCATTGCTTAGCGACGGCAGCAGCGCTACTACGACGAAACAAATCTCACCAAAGACGATCTCTTTGGGCCAACACACCAAGGCTGTGATCCATCCATGCTTGACCCACCTTGCCACCGAAAAGGATGAGCTCTCTGCCTTCTGCTGCAGCCAGGCTTCGACCTCCATCGCTCCCAAGACCGGCGCATACGGCTTCAACGGGGAGCCAGCTGCTAACGCATAGAATCCGAGAGGAGGAAAAAAATGTATTGTGTTGATATGCGCCGTACAAAGACCGGAGCTTTTACATACATGTGGCAAGTTGACCACGAGAAAGACTCAGAAAAAAACAACCAGCAGATGTTGGTGTTGCTCTTAGGTTTATACTGGGATCGTGGGGTGTCGGGGTTATCTCCTCGGAATGATTTGACAGTCGCTGCCTGCTACCCGTCTACCCCCTCTCTCTAATTCCATCTAAATCCTCAACCTTGATTTTGAATGTGGCTCGAAACGGAAATTATCCTTGACTCTCAATCATATGGTTTAGGGGTAGACATCTCCTCATGGGAGGATTGGTCCGTCCGTGAAAACTGTTCTGAAGATGGTGCTGCGCACCGCATGTACAAGTATCAACGTAGAGCCCTGACATTTTGGACATTTCGATCGGTGTTCGGAGATAATTCTAATTTTTGGGCGTTGCAGGTACTTGAGGTTTCATCGTACTCGCCTGGGCAGACATATGTAGTTGTCACCGGCGGCATGCAGAAAATTCCTCATTTGACCAACGTAGTTTGTCGGTTTCAGAGCATCACAAGGAACATAATCTGACAACAGCTTGAGCACAACATTGATTTCCTCGATCTTCTCATTTCGGTTCCTACGCCGCCGCTCCCTGTCTACAATCCGATTCGTAAAAAAGACAACCTCGGGTGCGGGAGCTCTACCCGTTCTCAGACCAACCCCAAACGCGTTCCCCGCTCGCAGCAGCACCTTCCCGACGCCCGGTCGCAAATCTCCAATCCTTCCACCCCGCAGCAAGGCTCCGCCACGAACAGGCTCGGATCGACGTGCTCCCCCACCGTCAGATCTTCTTGCTCCAGGGCTGGGTCGGCGAACTCGTTCGGGTATCTGAGCGCATAACTCACGGAGAAGTCGTCGTGGGAGTCATCATCGCAGCTGTCTCTACCGCAGCCGTCCCCTGTCTCATCCTGGATCGCGGAACAAGCAAAGCGCTGCCGGTGGCAAGCTCCGCCGTCCATGCCGCCGGTGCTACTACCTCCACCTTTCTCCCCTCGCACGGCGGCAGCGGCATTTCCTTTTTCCGGTTCCTGCTCCTCTCGCAGACTGCTCCCGCACACGGGGCATCGCTCGCACAACAGCCCATCTACCGCCTTTAGGCTCGCTCCCCCTTGCCGGTTGGTGCTGCGGCTCTTTTTCGCCTTCGCCGGCGGCGCTCCCAGCACAGGGCGGCCTAGCGTTAAGGTCAGCGCGCGGTGGCACACTCGCTGGAGGAGGCGCAGCATGGCGAGCCAGGCCCGGTGGAGGCGTGGGCAGGGCCACGGTTGCCGTTGGGAAGACGGCGGGAAAGCTGAAGCCGGCGCCCGAAACACCTCGCGGACGATACCGCACTTCTCGTAACCGGTGTGCCACTTATACCGTGTGGTTCGTGGAGGATTGGGTTCGGAGTGGCGCGAATGTTAGTCTTGCGTTTGGCGATGATAGTGCGGTAGGCGCGCGCTTCTGTCGTACGTCTAGTTTGCAAGCCGTCCCGTGAGGTTGGTGCTGTGTATCTGTGTGTGCCCCACAGCCTTCAGAATCGGCATGAACGTGATCCACGACACATCTAACGGTCCACCCAACGTTCGGCGCTCAACTCGGGGCTCAGAAATGGCGTTCATATGATACGAAACCCCAGCCTGTCTGCCGAGAGGACAGCGGCTACATTGTGAGCATCCTCAGCGAATGGTTGCTTAGATCAACTCGTGAAACAAAAAGAACAAACGACGGAACAATCTGCATCACTATCAGCAGCGAAGGCTTTCCCTCACCATGGGGATGCCGCGCTCGTTGAAGTGCACCCTCCCTTTGAAGGCCTCCTTCCAGCCGGAACCGCCGTCGAAAAAAGCCTTCAGGAGTTCCATGAACTCCAGGTAGGCGTCCCGAATGGCGCCCGTCTCCGTCAGCACGACGAAACCGTGCCTCTCCATGAGGCCGACAAACCTTTTGGTCAATCGAGTGAGGCCAGTGAACCGGGTCGACAAATTGTCTGGCGGTCTCTTGGATGTAGGGAAGACTGGCAGGGCAGCGGCCCAGCACCAGATTCATGCCAACGCGATGCCATGTGAGGACAAACTGCAAAGGTACTTGTCAATACCTTTCTGACGTGTTGTCCATCGAACACTTTCCAGTACAGCCTGCTCTACATCCAGAGTGCATAGTGCTTGTAGACTTTGGTCAATGGTAGCAAAGGGTGTAGAAGGTCTACGGAGACATTGTGGGGTTCCGTATCATGGGTATCCCTTGGGGAATGTACTGTTGTCAAAGTTGGATGATACACGAGGTCCTGTTCCCGGGGGTTTCTTTGCCACTCTCTTTTCTAAACAGCAAAAGAGTTTCGTATGTCATCTCTCAAGCCCATAACCTAATCCGTACTGGGGATGCAGTTCTGATGGACATGCATCAACATTGCGAATCCTGGAAAATCGCTTGGTGGTCTATGCCGTACAACACGCGTACACCAACTGCAAAACTTGAATTCAACAACACCGCGAGAGATGAGCACATAGCAGGACGAGCTCCAGCGTGAACAATAAACAACATAATGATACATCGTGGTATACACATGAGGAGGACTCCAGCTTGTGTTTTGGTGGGCATGACCCAAGGCGCTGATCGCTAGAAGGGTGCGATCAGTAGGAAACTGGATTTGTGGCGCATGTAGAAGCTGTGAAAAAGGGGACGCTTGCGAGGGCCGTAAGCCCGCCACCCCCCCCGAAACTGCGGTTGAGGGGTCGGTAGAGAAAGGGTGAGAATCTTCAGTCCAACATCCCTGATTCAACTCCATTATCTTTCAAATCGTCACGCACGCAGCATACACGAGGTTGACCTGAAACATCAACCCTGCCAGCACTGCCGAACCTCAGCGGCGATGCAGCAGCAGACAGTACCGAGTGTGCCAAGTATTCAAACTGGGCGCTATTGGCCAGGCCCTCCACCTCCCCATACCTCGAGGTGTTGGTGCTATTCAGCTCGCGTAGCTGCATAGTCGGGATGTCAATTGCCTCCCCGTCCTTTTCAAACGCGAGGGGGCCAGCAACAGCAGGACTATCGTCGCCTCGCTTGCAGGTATTTGTTTTTTCTCCGCCATTTGCCCCGACCAAACCACCCTCTTCCGCGGCGCTGCGATGGCCGCATCCGAACACAGTAAATCGCCGTGTGCTTAGAAGCTCCATGGTTCTTTCGTGCCTTCCTCGCCGGTGTGTGTATCGGAGGGTCGGAGAGAGCCAAAAGTGGGTGTGATCGTGATGATGTGATGGTGGTCGACGGCTGATCTGCCGCTCGCGGTGCGACGGGACTGTTGGAAATTGGCGAATGAGATCGGCCCGGGTTCAGTAGTGCTTCCCCCCTTCCCCGGGAAGCGAGGGAGGTAAAAAGCCAAGCGGGATCACGTGAGTTTTGGAGGAGACAATATTAATATTCATGTTCGACACCTGCGGCAGTGGCCATGTGCGTCCCATGGTGCCATACCTACTGTAAAAAATCTCAGCTGCGCGCATCTCTTCGCGGATTTTGTAAGTCGAACGAGCGTACAGCACTCGTAGACTGCATGTGTGTAGACCAGCATGCAGGGCATAACCGGCGTCTCAGCCAGACATTGGTCGACTGCCAACCCGCGTGTCTGCCTGCGTTACTCCGCGCATCTTCTCTGTAGCTACCTCAAGTCGCGGCGTCCCTTGCGAAAACCGTTCACTTCTGCTAAAGAACCCTGTATCTGCACCGTGTGTGATTTTTGAGCGGTATCATCAACTAACTGGATCATCCCCTTCCCCCCAAACTTCATGAACTCGTTGACTATCCCATCCGCCCCTGCTGCTTTGTGACACTGCAATTAGTTCACACACGCCTCAACCTCGTCCTCAGTGAACTCCTTTTCTAGTTCTACGTTCCCAACGTCTGCCTTCGATGTCTCTTCTTCTTTCTGGGCCCATGCGTCCACCTACACTTGGTCAAAAGCTTCATTCTCCGAAGGCACTCCAAGTATCTTGTGTCCTGCTACAGAACTTCCCTTTTTCCCTTCCCACTGCTGATACTTACATTATTTGGGAGATCCACGTGGGACGTCCCACGCGTCACCACTGGGCCGTCCCACGTGTCCCATTGTGTCCCATGGGACAGTGTTATGGTATTTGGACCCTTAGCCGTCCCATGGTGTCCCATGGGACACGTGGGACGGCCCGTGGGACGCGTGGGACGTCCCATGGGACACCATGGGACACCATGGGACGCGTGGGCCGCCGCATCCGTGGGAGGTCCACAATCTGTCCCGGGGGGGCCCGGGACTTGCCAGACCCCTTCC